CAACAATGTTTAATAGTTAATGCTTGCAAATTTAAGTAACAAATAATAAATGATTATTTTCATATTTTTGGCGGCCATCTTGGACGCCACTCTTGGATTTCTTAGTCCGCCAGCACTTATGGTAAAAATAAAATCCATTTTCGTAATCTAGGGACCCAACCAAACATTTTGATATATGAAACCCCCTGTTTATGATCGGGGACCAGTAACTCCCCTAAATAAGCGACTTATTGGAGTCTATTTGCAGCACTATTAATTGTAAAATCTGAATAAAAAACTTGCAGCTAACATTTAAATAAACATGCACAGTTAACACAAATTCACTGCTGCACATATATTATGTATATTTATGCTATTAATCTATTCCAGATTAATAATGGATGTCCCCGGTAAAAAGGCATCTCAGAAATTCTCATCTACACTATCTCAAGGTGGTGCTGAAGATTTTGACATTTATTGTGAAATATGTGACAGAGCTGATATCAGGCTTCCTGCCTTTGGTTACTGTGTAGATTGTGAGGAACACTTATGTCAATCTTGTTTCAAAACTCACAGACTACCAAAACCACTACGCCATCATCAACTTTTAGATAAAGATCACATGCCACACAAACAAGAACTCCAAAGATCATCAAAATTTACTTCCAGTTCACAGACTGGTAATCTTACAAAGCCTTGTTCTAAACACACCAAAGAAGTGATCAAATTCTACTGTCATGACCATTAATGCTCTTTTATGTAGTGTTTTGTGTGACCCTTGAACACACACCAACATCCTGTCATGTGGACTACATACCTGATATATCAGGGCAGATTTTAGACAGCACCGAGTTCAAGGAAACTCTGAAAGATACTGATAAATTGACAAACAAATGCTCCCAGATTACAAGTGGCCTGAAACAAAAGAGTTGCGAAATCAACAACTTCTCTTAAAGATGCTATAGCAAAAATCGAAAACTATAGAAAAAAGATAAACAAAGAGATTAGATGAACTAGAAAAGGAGGTAAAAGATGCTGCTTTTACAATCCAACATTTGACAACAACAAGAAGTTGAGAACAACAGAAAAACAACATGTGATTGACATTGGCAAAGAACTTCAAGCATCAGCTCATACTCTAAAACATCTCAATGCAAACAAGAAAAAAACTGACCAAACTGTTTACTGAACTAAAGATAGCTCAACAACGTATTCAAGATAATAACAATATATTATCACAACTACCGACAATCAATGACATAGATGAGTACATCTTTGAACCAAATCAAGCTATCAAGAAAGTCATTCAGGATGAGAAATCATTGGGAACATTGAGCAGTAAGAAGCTAAAGCAGCCAGCTGAACCAAAGAATCAAGGTACAGTAGCAATGAAATTGTCTACCCATAGACGAATTTATGCTAAAACATCCTCAGGTGAAAAGAATTGTTGGATTTCTGGTATAGCTGTTTCTCCTCAAAATCAATTATTTGCTGCAGATTACTACTATGACTCTTTAAAAATGATAGACATTATAAATGGAGATATCAAACAATTACAGCTTGACTCAAAACCCTGGGATATTACCATGGTCACCACAGATTCCCTTGCTGTTACATTACCAGACAGTAAAACAATACAGTTCATTTCCTTCTCCCCAGACTCACTCTTACTGAAGAACAAACTGAAGGTAGATGGAGAGTGTTATGGTATCAGTCATCATCAGAGAAAACTTGCAGTCACATTTGCAAATCCTGGTAAACTCCAAATCATGTACTTGAAAGAAAATACTAAAGTTACAGTTGACAAAGATTCCAACGCTGACAATATTTTCAGGAAACCTTGGTATGTCACAACAAACAGTCATTCAATCTATGTATCCGATGATGGTAATGATGTAGTTCTACGATTCAACTGGCAGGGAGAGATGGTAGGATTAGTAGGAATAAGAAGACCAAGGGGTATAACACTGTTAGATGATGGGTCTCTTTCAGTGAATGGTTACGCAAGTGATTGTATATATAGAGTGAGTGGTGACTGTAAAGACAGTAAAATTATACTGAAGGATGTAAATAGACCTTATGCCGCATGTTGGTGTGCTGAAACTAGTTCACTTTGTGTTAGTAGCTTTATGGAGGACAGTGATGACAATTATATCAGAGTGTATAAAATGATGTAAAAGACATAACAAGATATGACATGTCACTAACTATGGGATAAACACATCAGATCATCATCATTCATTCAAAATTTAACTTTTTGAAATTATTGTAACATTATGATATAACACATACTTTTAGTTCAGTTGATTTATTGCTGTACAGATGTGTTATTATTTTCATAATATAAATAAGATGTTTAATATTTATATATACAAAATTTATTTTTATTTTTCATTTTAATCACTTAACATAAAGGTAAAGTATAGTTCTTTAATGATCAATTTTAGAATTTATGTGTTATAAAGGATAATTATTTTTTATTGATGTATTCTTACACAGCAATAGAATTTTACAAAAAATAAAGAAGATGTAATATTGATTGTGATTTTGTGAACATTTAAGTTATTGCACTAAATATATGTGACTAAAGAAATGACTGAAAAAATGCAGAACACATCAATGTAGATCTAAATTAAGTATTACATATCAAGTTTTGTACATAATCATCATGAAAATGTCAATAAAATAATCTGATAATTGTTATTTTGTATAGCATATTGTTTGTTTATAGTCATCATTTCATGTTACAAACACACAAAAAAAGATTAAATTTCATGAAAAATATTGCTTACTTACTTATTTTCAATAAAAAAAACCCCAAAAATCACCACATGATTTCAAAAAGAAGTATTACCTTTCGATGTGAATTTAAATATTAAGTGTGTGCAATGGAATATCTTCTTTAAATTACCTATTTTATCCTGTTAAGAGGCGGGTTTGTCAGTCTGTTACTGCTTTTTGTTCTAGTCTGAAGTGCTATAAAAGTGTTGTTTTCATAATTATGATCTTAAACAGTTTTTGGAGTGACTAAATATTAGTTTTTATTTCAAACCTTATTAAATGAAGCCAATGAACTACCAAAAAATTTTTTACTTTTGTGATTTTCCAAAGAAAAGAAGTTGAGGATTTGCTTTTAATACATGCACTTAAAATTCCCCACTAAAAAGTGAAAAAATTACAAAACATGCAAATTTATGTGGATATTTTCTCACTTAAATGTGTGACATATAGCATATTGACAACTCGTTCTAATGTTAAGAGTCCAAAAATTCAATATCAAATCCATACTGTACTTCATCTTGACTTGTTTTCTTTTCCGAATCCAAAATTTCCATATAAAATCCATATTGTACTTAAAGTAACTGTATTTTCATTTCACACAAAACACTAGGTTTTGATTTTTCCCCCCTTTTTTTAATGTGTTTTAGAATCGGTGATGTGAACAAAAAAGAAAATTAACTATACACTGTTGAGTACCATACTGCATCTATTGGACTCATAAAAAAAGCTGCTTTCCCTATTTTTGGGATTGGGGAAAACCTTGCTTTTTCGTTCAATGTGGGTTTTAAAACAGTTGTGTACTGTTTTAATAGGAGTTTCCGATTCATTTATTTAAAAAGATAAAAATAATATGTTTCCGGTTTGTTTTTTTGACCATTGCCGACAATTCATCTGGTATGAGTGTCAGAATAGTTGGGCCGTGTTATTCCCAATGGCGTCATTTTAGCGCATTTTTTAACCACCGTTAGAATTACGTCAATTTTCGGCGTGTTTTAAGAAATGAAACTGCATTGCTTAATGATGACGTAATGGTTACGCCCATTTATGAAAAAAGTTATATAGAGGATATTGAATGAGTTGTAAATTTCAATACTTAATTTTATAACTTGCAATGAGCATTTTTGTTTGAAAAATGGCCTTTTTTCATTGATAAAGTCTTCCCGTTACAAAGTTTCAATATAAAAAACTGCTTCAATACTAATTTCAAACTTGGCACCAAATGTTAAACTGGACCATTGCCATTGTAAACAACATGCTTATCAATTTTTTTAATTTTCTGTTACCATTGGCAACGATGGGGACATCGTTAAAATTGCCAAAATCACTATTTTGCGTAGATTTTCCCATCAAAATTGATTTCAAAGTGCCTGCAACTTCTCAATGGAATCAGATTAGAGTTAAAGGCTTTTCAGCGTTGGTTGCACGTTACCTTATAATCGAAGGCTGGGGTCATTTTTAGCCTTCTCACAAGTCCCAAAATTTTTCTTGGCGATGAGGGGTGGGGGAGGGATACCGCCCCCTTCAAAACCCCCAAACACACCCCCTTCTGGCAACCCCTCTGATGCACCTTTTTTTAGGGGGGCGGCGCCGAATTTGAGAAGCTCCGCGCAAAAATGCGCTCATTACAGATTGTTACAGATACCTTACCAATCATTCCTACGCCACAGGTCATGGTTCAATCAGTGAAGTATTATTGTACATTATTCCGAATGTTTTGTAAATCATTTTTTGCATTAGTTATACTTTCGTATGCCACTGTCCATTAGAGAGGGGCCACATTATCAAATTTTTCAAAAAAAAAGAAAAAAAAAAAGAAAAAATGCTTTTCCACTGATGCCAACATACCATTAAGGAAAGTTATTCCATTGAATACAAACAATACTTACAATGTTTTGTAAATTGTAATGTGACATGACAGTACATCTATTATTTACGGAATGCCGTTAGGGCCATTGCCTATTCAAATGTGTTGAGATTTGAAACGCGTGATAGTCGAAGTACGATTGGTGAAAACGCCGAAAATCACGAAAACTACCGATGGTTGAAAACGCGAAAGTACGATGATGAAAACGCGAAAGTACCGATGGATGAAAAAGCGAACAGTACGATACGACGATGATGAAAAACGCGATAAACTATCGTGTTTTCACCATCGAACTGTCGCGTTTTCACCATCGTAGTTTCGTGATTTCGCGTTTTCATCATCGTACTGTCGTGTTTTCATCATCGTACTATCGCGTTTTCACCATCGTACTATCGCGTTTTCACCATCGTACTATCGCGTTTTCATCATCGTACTGTCGTGTTTTCATCATCGTACTATCGCGTTTTCACCATCGTACTATCGTGTTTTCATCATCGTACTATCGCGTTTTCATCATCGTAACTATCGCGTTTTCATCATCGTACTATCGTGTTTTCACCATCGTAGTTTCGTGATTTGTGTTTTCACCATCGTACTATCGACTATATCGCGTTTCAGATTAACACATTCATAGGCGATGGCCCTAACGGCATTCCGGAATGCCGTTAGGGCCATCGCCTATGAATGGTTTGATCTGAAACGCGATACTCGACAGTACGATGATGAAAACGCGAAATCACGAAACTACGATGGTGAAAACGCGACAGTACGATGGTGAAAACACGATAGTTTATCGCGTTTTCATCATCGTAGTATCGTACTGTCGTGTTTTCATCATCGTACTATTGCGTTTTCATCATCGTACTTTCGCGTTTTCACCATCGTAGTTTCGTGATTTCGCGTTTTCACCATCGTATTATCGACTATCGCGTTTCAGATCAACACATTCATAGGCGATGGTCCTAACGGCATTCCGTAATTATTGCAACAGTGTCACTACTGTAGATGATAAAAATATCAATTAAAGCATGTATATATTCTTTTTCACCTATAATCCTGTTCATTTTCTACAAATATCAACAACTAATCATGGTAAATATAAAAATCCATATATGAATAAGCCAAAACAAAAACTTTCATGGACTTTACTTCTCAAAATGTCCTTTGCTTGTTTCGCGGCTAATGGTATATCATGATATAACAAGAAAAGCATTGATGCAAAGCATCAAAGGGCGTCCAAGCAAGAAATGCAGCAAATGAACTACGGCTCGTGAAAATATGTGGCATTTTATCATGATTCGTGAAAATATATTCCATATTTCACTCAAACGAAAAAATATCCTCTTAATATTATGCAAATGACGTCATGTTAAAATATATGCACGGTCGTGCAATATCATCTTTTTCGAAAAAAAGGCACGAGTATGTGATAAAAAATTCATATGCTATTGAAGGAAAATAGTTACGAATTAATTGACATGAATTTCTATGAAAAAATGTCTTAATTATTGGGGCAAACCATTTTAAATATGAAAGAATACGGCAGAATACGCAAGAAAAATATCTGACATAATTTGCCGTTCGGATCGGAATACTCCGAGAGTACCCCGACAATTGATATTCCGATTCCGATCCGTATATCGCAACACGTGACAGATATTATTATAGTCTTTGAGTCACCGGAGTGCTATACCAAAATAGTTTGTTTAGTGCACTTTTCCCTTTGTGTTTATTTGTTAGTGTAACGCCCCTGAAATTCTGTTTTGCAGATCACAGCATTTAAAACGGAGCGCAATATATATATACTTGTAGTTGCCTAATTTTAGGTAGGCGTGAAAATAATTATGACTTGTATTACATGTTATATTTCATTCCTACCTAAATTCAGGAACCCAGAAAGATTACTGTAACTTTACACGTAATATGCTGTTGATAAAATCTTTAACTTGCAGATTTGTGATATTTCTGAAGAAACCCTAAACAGAAAGGAAACCGTGCCTACAGATATCGTGTTAATATCATGGCGATACAGTATCGATCATATTAACACGTGAATAGAACGACCTTTATTGTAGAACAAAAGAACGCTCGTTACTTCAAACCATTCACGGACGAATTAACCAATAGAAAATCAGTGTACGTAAAATATATGATATCTCCATATTTAACATTAGAAAAAGTACGGGAATAATGATCCAAGACTAGTTATTACGCTAATAAATCAGACAGAATTAGATTATATAGTTCGTATTGAAAATGTTCAATGAAAAACACGTATTTGTTAATGGATAAATGTGTATAATTCGGGAATAATGAGTGCAGTTTAATGTATCTTCTAACCAGTATTTAATGATTTAGAAAATAAAAATTACTGCCACTTCAAGTTTAAAATCATGAGAAAGCATAATTCTGCTTTGAGTGGTAGCGATTGCTCTCTTAAGTTGCTTCGTTTATATAAATATTTACAACTTGCACGCGTGTATAAACAGTAGTAATAATTAATGCTAAAAACGTTGTTCTTACTATTTACTTTTTACCAAACATGTAAACAAGGCTATCATCACATAGTGTGGACTTTGTAATCGCTACGTTTTTCTTTTGGAGTTAAAGCAAATAATATTTCAACGGGTTTTATTTGATTATAGGTAATAAATATAAAAACGAATACATTGGATAATCTAGAAGGGCGTGCGACTGCATTAATCAAGCATTTAAGACGCAAGTACGGAAACCAGCTCAATGAATTTGTAAAAGAAAAAAATGTTATGAATTTGATAAAAAGTAACGAAGTATTGTAATTGTATACGTAAATTTATCGACAATCAGGAACTATGGGGATAATGATGGCGGCAATGGGGATTTTGTGGAAGTAGGGTGTGCTTGCTTACTTCTATACAAAACTGTGTCGAAAGTGTTAATGTATTATCCAACTATTATTGGGCTGGAGTGCTATAATTTTGCTGGAGTGCTAATTTGAATATTAGCTTGAAAAAGAAGAATTGTTTTTCTTTATAACAAACTAAAACTTTGTTAAAATATGAGTGGAGTTAATGGACTGCAAGGCATTGAAGGTATTTGTATTTATTTTTTAGTACTAAGATATACTTATATTAGGTATTAAATCGTTTTTTAATGTTCTTACATTTTTTTTTGGAAAATCTTTAAAATTAATGCTAGAAAACAAAACAAAACAAAAATGATTAATTGATGTAATCTTGCTTTTTTCATTGTATATGAATATGTTTATGATAGACGACATTAAAACGTTATCTTCATAATATTTTATCAAGTAACTTCTATCTGTCACTTGATTTTGTTTTAATGCATATAAAATATGTAAGTTTTTCCCTCTTCAACTTTCAATAGTTAGGAGAATTTGTTTCGATCCAAAGTTTATTTCATATGTTTGAGATATATTGAACATTGATTATTGTATATTTGCTATGTTTCGCTTTTTGAATGAATGATGGTTTTATGATTTGATTAATTTATCGTATTTATATAAATGTATTTGTCGGCTACATAAACAACATTACCATATTAAAATTATGTCACAGTAAGTCATTAATATGCGCACGTGCTATTGATCTATGTTGCCATAGTGATTAGTGTTACAGTTCTACCAACAAATTAACACTCACTTTAATTCTATATGGAACTGTTGATAGATCAATTATACTTATCATTAACATATTTCATCAGGTCAGGGTATGTTTTGTTTGCAGGCATTGATAATGACTTGATTTTGACACCAGTAAAGAGCCAGCCAACCTGTACATCCTGTACAGCCGTGCATTTCCGACCATATTCTGTTTCCACCACTTTGAAACTAAAATTCCGTTATTTCACAATGAAAAGTTTCGAAGTCAAAGCAGGAAAAGTTCCTTCCACTAATTCAGCAGAGTCAAGGGTCAAACATTAGTGCCGCATGCCTCCAGATGAGCCGAACTATTTCAAGAAAATCAAACTTAAGAAACTAAGATTTTAAAAAGTAAATTGAATCAAGATTCAAGTAATAATTCACATGTTGTGTGCGATTAATGACTGATCTTGCAGTATTTATAACAATATTTGCACTGCGTGACTAACGCAGTAAGGGATATTTTATATAAATAACTTTATTGGTTCATTTCTCAACATTATACTTTTAAATACATTTTCAACACAGTAACAATTTCTGAGCTCAAAAACTCATGTATATATGATGTACATTATGTATTATTGCATTTTCTGTCATTCCTGACATGAAGTATTTCAGAAAATGCAATTATACATAATTTACATCATATATACCTGAGTTTTTGAGCTCAGAAATTGTTACTATGTTAGTGTTTACATTTGTCTAAATTATTGTTACTGTGGTACTTGTCTTATGTACAGACTCAATCAAACCGAGTCTGCAATTTTCATGTAATTTTAATGATTTTGATGCTTCCGATAGAACACCTTTTTCCAGATATCTATATTGCATTTATGATATGAGTATAACTGGGTATATTTCCAGGTTTAGATGACCGTATCAGTTAACCCTATCAAAGTGTTAATATCGCCGACACTAATGAAATATATCAGATCATTAATACACCTGTTGTTATTGAATTACATTGAATATTCATCAAAGACCCCACACACGCCTGGATAAATTGAATTTCGAACGTTCTCGTGCCTCAGATCGCGTGACATGTGATGGGATTATTTGTTTTTGAGAATATCTAGTCTGGTGCCACAATAAGTTCATCATCGGAATATTGACGATCTTACAAAGCTGTTAAATTTGACATGATGATTATTTTATTTGATTCTTTAGAATGTGGAATCATTTCAGCTTCAGGCGCCTTCATTAATGACATTCAATAACTATAATAAAACACCCTCAGTGACATAATTGTTAATTAATGCAAAGGTTAAACTTCTTTTTTCTCCTTAAATAAATATATTAGAAAATCAGGTATATTTATCTTTTTATCCCGATTATTTCGCGTGAATTTTCTAGAGATAATAACTTTAACTATTTTGAAAGATAGTCAGTATTTTGCAATACAAAGTGTTATGGCAGAATGCACTGTGAAAAATACGTATTTCAATTTTATGGTATCATTATCGTAGAATCGCAGAAAATATATTTCATTGCAATTTTACGATGTCCAAATGTTTATAAAGAAGAAAAAGCAAAGAAAAAATGAGATCGAAATTATGGCAAGGCAATGCTTTTATTTTGCAACTAAATTATGCAATTTACCATTAATCTTTTATTCAAAATAGACAAATCATTCCCAAGTGTGATCAGTAAAAAAATCAACCTAAAAAGAAAAGTATTTTTGATCTTTTTCAGCCTTATTTCGAGACCACAAACGCCTTGCATCTAAGTTGACCTCTGATGAACTTCGGGCAATACGTGATTATATCGAGGAGCGAATCAGGGAGGAACATGCCGAGATCAGCTTCCGGTTGTATGCTTTACAAAATGACTTTGACGTCACTGTACGAAAGAGTTCTGATACTATAACCGATTTGTACCAAGAACTTAATGAAAAGAAAGATCTGATAGAACACTATAAAAACTCAGATGAAACTATTACAAAGGTACATAAGCAGAAAGAACAAAGATGGGAGAAAAAACAAGAACTGTTGGTATCCGAAATAGAAAAACTAGGAGGTGAAACTGCTCGCACGAAAACTAGACTGAACAATGCAGAAAAGGAACTAGAGGAAAAATCCAATCAAATAGAAACACTTGAAGAAAATCTTGTTGAAGCAAATAAAGTTGTTGCAACAGTAGACGAAGCTAAACAAGTTCTAACCGAGTATGAGGAAAATAAGAAGGATAAACTAAAACTGAAAATGGAAATTGATAAAAGAGATCGTCTCGTGCAGACTCATGAAAGAACCATTAACGCTCTAAAGAATGAAGTAGAGGAGTTGAAGCGAGAGAAGAAAATAAATGACTTGAAAGTGACATCGGTTCAAGATGAGCTAAGGAAGCAGATGAAAGAGGTCGGAGAGAAGTGTAATCAGCTGTCCGAGACACAGTTTAAACTTCAGGTCGAGAGAAGACATACAGAGAAAATACAGATACAGCTGAGACAAGCAACAGAAGATGTGCAAAATTACAAGAGAATGATAGAAAGTGCGAGGTAAATGTTAACTCCTCCATATTTTAAATTCATAATTATTAATGATCTGAAACATTTTTTTTCATTTGTCTGTTTTGTCTTTTGAATCTTTCGTTTTATCACTGGAATATACTTATCTTTTTGTTAATTTCTGAAGATGCAACACAAAACATAATGGTAAGGTGTATTTTTTTATTTGGTTCGATTTAACGTCACACTAACATTGTATAGGCCATATGGCAACTTTCCAGTATTTAAAATACTGGCGGAGGAAGACCTCAGGTGCCATTCTGTCCATTATTTCTGGCTGAGTAGAACTATCGACGTTACTAAGCTACCTGGATAGCTTTTTCCGGAGACGCTGACGCCGGTGTGCGAAACCTATAGATGAGAAGGAGGTAAAGTTATTTAAATTCAACGATTAACCACTGGACACTGTTTGCATCCCCGATTACTTTAAATTTTTATACATCGACAAAAAATAATTAATGCAAAATTTATCCATCAACTCCCTTAAGCAATGGGTTAATTTGAGTAAGATTCCACATCGCCACGAAAAAAGAACCTTATATGAGCTGTTATTTCATAAAATTCTGTTCTGTTCCTAAAAACATTTATGAGAGTGCGGTTAAGAGAGGTTACGCCGTTACTGTCATTCATATACTATGTATCGTCAAGAATAAAACACCCGTTGCTATATCTTAGTTATTGACTGATACAAGTCTATAAAGCGAAAACGTAATACCTACAAATACGCTATTTTCTTTAAAAAAGAGGATATTTAATGATTGCGATAAAGTCAGATATTAAGACAAAATCCTGAACGTTAAATTATACCTATAAAGCTTAGAAATGAAAACGAAACACTTTAATTAAAACTGTCACTAAGCATCTGGCATCTCTTGTCATCATTTATATTGTCAGCTTATTGCCGCATTAATTTAGTTTCATATCAATAAATGTCAATTATCTAAAAACTGATTAGTTTTTACAGTACGTTCGCATGAGTGCTATACTGAAAGTGAGTTTTCAATTCATTCAAAGTACTAATTTCTAAAGACATTGTTTTCTTTTGGCAATAAGACATTATTTACATGTATGTACCGAAAATTGAACGATAAAAATCAATCAGCTTCAGTTTTATTTGTTATTATTTCTAGTTTTCGCATTTTGCCAAAGGTAATTGGAAAAAAAGAAAGAAAGAACCTGACAATAAATTACTTAACATTTACATGCATGTAGTGAATTTTCTATTTATTCAGAGTGCTAATTTCTAAAGACCTTGTTCGGATTGTTTTCTTTTGGCAATAAGACATCATTTAGATGTACATCATGAATTGAACGATAAAAATCAACCAGCTCCAGTTTTATTTGTTATTATTTCTAGTTTTTCTACTTTCAATACTGTCGAATCTTCACGGTCATATAAAAATTACTTGTATTAACTCTAGTACAAAACGAATCTACTCATTGGGTGCAAATCTTTTTTACATGTAGATTGTTAACTTGTAGGAAAGAATTCGTCAGAACTATCTATACATTGTTTATTTCTTTATCAATTATGGCATTGTTATTTTCAGACCTCCGCTCAATTCAAATGATCCTATAGTTATCACGATGCGAAAAGACTTAGATATAATGGATATTCGAATCAGGTCACTTGATATTGGTGTACGATTGAGAATGGACGAGGTAAAGAGAGTTGAAGATCGACTAGAAGATCTGAAAGAAGATGAAAAACTAGTACATCAGATGAGAAGCGAGATCTATCATCAAGGGGACACATTTTTAGAACTAACAGCAACTGAATTAGTGAAACATTTGGAATTCAGACAGCGTAGGCTTCACGAGGAGCTGAAATATGCACGTGACTGGGAACAGCCGAAACGTGACGCAGATATCCTAAGGTCGGAAATCAAAGCGTTTATGAAGCAAGCTGCTATATGTAAAGTTACTGACCTTGGTGAACGAGCAGCAAAACAGTTGCAGAAAATTGACCTAATTATGAGAGGTGTTTCTGACACAACAACAAAGATGCCGAGAGTATATCGCGTGTCGGAGAGATCAAACGCAGACCAAAGACAAAAGCTTAGACAAACCAGCAAACCAGCCTTTCTAACTTCGTCTACACCTATCAGCTCGTTTGATAGTTCTAGTAACAAACCTACCTTGAGGCGGAACCGGAAACGACCGGAAGGGAATAAAGTCATCAATACATTTAAGCACCCGTCCCTTGAAAATCATACGGACGACTCGAAGATTCAGTATATTGATACTGTCGATTTGGACCTATCACGTATGACACCATCCAGTGTATCAAGACGAGGTGACCAGTCTGATAGAATGACCATGAAGTCAGTATCATCTACAACTATACCTCCAATCTATAAATAATATCATCTAAGACTTAACACAAAGAATGACCGTAAAGGGAAGTCTAGGCAATAGTCACTTATGAAAAATAATGAAATAACTTATAAAATGGTGTTTCTGTTATAGATTATTGTGTATCTTTTCATATTTCTATCAGTATTATAATTATATGTGTACATATATGTGTGGATTCTGTATGTGCATATATGTGTGGATTATGTATGAGAGCATCATATGCACGCGTCTTTGATCGAGCAAAAGTTAGATGAATGAACATTCAATGAATCTTAACTTCGAGCTCAATTAGTGCAGTTTTTCTTTAAAACTACAATATTTTGTTTCTGCAGTCATGGATTTAATCAATGTCATGACAGATAACAAAATATTAATGCATCCAATCTGTTCTTTTCACAATCCTTGTATTAATGCACTTATATAATTACATGGTTTTTTGATAAAAAAAACTAAGCTAATTAAGGTCGTTTGATACCAATACCAAACAATAATTTTATGCCTAGATATACATTTTCTACCGCAATATGCCATGTTTTATATAGCACATCATCGGCAGTGTCCGTCTGTTTGTGGCAATATTCTTATTTATTCAACTTTATTTCAGATCCATCTTTGATATTCTACATCTTGTTTGTTTTCACTTTTCGCTACATTTATGATTTGCGTCCCTATTTTGTAATCACATGTACTGATTCGTAAACTTATCAATCAATCAATCAATCAATCGTCCAACATCCTTCCAAATACTTACTTTTATTGTGAAGCATAATAACCGAGGAGATCAGATTGGTAAAATTATGTTGTGTGATATGTGCGAGTGCCAATATGGAACAAATGCTTGATCTTGCCAAACTATATCACAATGTTATTTATAATGACTAACAACAATTTGCTCAATGTTTGTTAATAAAATTGTGATTAAATGTGTTATTGAGACTTTGTTTCCCTTTCCTGACCCGAATCTCACCAAAATGTCCTTTATTACCTTTTATGAAAATACTAATACCACTAAGCAAATAATATGAATACTGGTGGGCTTGGAGTTTGCAATAATGAAGTGGTGAATGCATAATAACCAATGAGGTGTTATTGTTAATTTAATACTATAATGTTCAATTATTTCAAATACGTGAGCTAACGTTTTGCTTAAAAGTCTTTTAGAAACCGAAGTGTTTACTGGCATTGATATATTAAAATTGTTTGTGAAGTTCTTTTGACAAACAAAAAAGCACTTTCCTGACAAGTTGATGTAAAAATAATGTATGTCTTTACAATAGATATAGTAAATGCAAAATGTACAATGAAATTCTGGCTATTTGTATACAGAAAAATTATCACAATAGAGTGTGCTGAGAATGTCAAAAGGCGATTTGTGTATGTCTCATAAAAGAAGGTGGCTTGACATCAGAAAGTGTATCTATAACATAGGTGATACTTTGAAAAGGAGAATCGTTGACATAATGTCACATAACATAATTATGACGATGAAGCTAGGGCCGCATTGTGCTACCAGGTTGTCTTATAATTTATTCTCTTAAATCAAATAAGAATACCATGCTGGCTTTTTGCATGTTCATCCAACAATATCGTATTAAAATTGGTTAAAATATATAAGAAACTCATTGAGTATTTTGTATTTAAACGCTGCTGTTTATAAGTTATCCAATATTGGGACATTTCTCGTACAAATAAAACACAACAGTTTGGAAATCTTAATAATTATGCACATCATTTATGCATTTAGGTGATCGTTTATTGTACAAACAAAAATACTCCTGATTTAAGTTTTGCTTTGAAATAAAAGAGACAAAATATAGAATAAGTAACTAAGCGAAATACTAGAACGCAGTACCCATTATTCCTGTAGAGAATATATGTTTAGTAAAATTGTGGATACCTATATATGTATACACAAACCATTGCTGCTTCCTTGTCACGTGTTATAGGACATCACGTCACGTGATAGGAAATCACGCATATAACTGAAGGTACTTAAGAAATAACATCGGCCTGAGAGGTGTATATCGGCTATTTAACACCGGTTTGGAGTTTGGATGCGTAGGAATTGACCACGAAGGCCGTAGGCCTGAGTGGTTAATTTTGTCGCATCAAAACGACAAAACCGGTGTTAAATAGCCAATATACACCTCTCAGACCGATGTTATTTCGATTCTAACACGATAAAATAAGGAAAATCACTAATGTTATTTTTCAAGCGGAAATAACTTCCGGTACCGATTTTCGTATAACGCTGTTCGATTTTCGCACCCCACTGTTGCGAAGATATAGAAATTATCGATCAAAAGAAATGATAAGAAAAAAACGTTATTTTATCAAGTTTTCAACAATAAAAACTTACGTCGTATTGTGTTTACATCAGTGCCCCATTTATAATTCTTGTATGTATGAAATAACGTCAGCTTGTTTATGAATGAGTTGTTTACTTAGGATGACGTCATTACGCTGCTTACGGATTGGCGCCGTTTTGTCAAACTATTTATTAACTGATATGCATCTCTAATATGTGGCGTTAGTGTATGTGAGATATTATTTCGGTATTGTATGAAAAGAAAACATTATACGAACTGAAAATATAAATAAAAATGCTTTTTATTGTTGCTTTAAAATGCTTTGTAAACTATAGAATCGAGGGTGAAAACATAACAGCGCATATACAAGTAGTCCCTAACCGGTGTTTATTGGCAGTTTAACACCAGTTTTTTTCCTTCTTTGTCTATAGTCACAAAATCACGTGAGTGTAAGAATATAGTTTGATACATTCTATTCACTAAAAGAGGGTATCCGAAAAGAAATACAAATTCAATGCAGATATGCAAATAATGGTAAAATAATATACGCAAGTAATACGAAAACAAAACATATTTCGAGGTTCAAATGTCCAATGGATTAAATGACTAGTTGGAATCACATCAGCTCAACATCATCGCTTCTCATACATACTCTTTCAAATTCTGGCTCAGACGACGGACCTTGTCTCGCACGGCCTTTTTCCTGATTTTGTAGACGTTCTTGGTAGCTCACGTGGTTATGTTCCCGGTTCGGTAGACGCTCTTTGTAACTTACATGGTTTTGTTCCTTGTCATGAAGATGCTCATAGCATTGTTGTTGAATTTGGTCTTGTTCATATTCTAACTCGTGATCTATTGGCGGGAAATGTCCTTCCGGCAGGACATCCATTTCGGACATCGTCGGCATTCTTGTATGATGCATCATTCTAGATAATGCCGACGACCGCAGCGTCAAAGTATCCGAATTCTCGTAGTTATAGATCTTTTCTCGAAAGTGTCGCTCATCTCCTTTCGATTTTGAGTATATTCTCGGATCAACAAACTTTAAGGACATTTTTGGTCTCAGTGACCCGTCGTACCCTCTTCTCCAATTTCCTGAAAGTACAATACTAATCTTAAATAGATTATTAAAAAACCTTACAGAGAAGGTAATAAATAAATATTTACACCAGACGCTAAATGTGACTGGCTTTTTTTATACGAACTTGACACTAGATTCGATAAACCTTCAGGAATGAAATTGGTAGACTTCTATTTACTTAGTTATTTTTTTAAGTTTGTGCTGAATAACTATTTATTCCGGTTAAAACGCCTCACTTTCTAGACGTCTGAAACTTGCGATCATTTTATCTTATAATGTATATTTATATGAAAAGTAAGACCTTTTATCTCGAAATATTCTGAAATGTATAATTCTGAATGCTTACTGTAAGGGAAGGTTTCTATATACAACTTCCTGAGTTCAAACGGTGTCATGGTAACAGGTTTTGACATGGCCTCCTCTTCTTCTTCCTGTAATAACACATACACAAGTATGTACAGCATTTTATACGAATAATGTGAGTTCGTGATAGACGTTATTCGTAATATCCTTGATTAATGAATCAGCTTGTTCTGTTACGTTCATTATCATATATAGTGATTATGGTTATAGAACAATTAAATCAATCAAGCAGGCAATAAGTTTTAAAACTGGTGATGTGGATATGTTGTCCTTATTCCTTATTATAATAGTTGTTATAAATATACAAGTTTAGAGGATTGCGTTGAAGCCATTTTCCACACTTTTTGAAGCTTTGAAATAAAACAAAATTAATAGAACAATTTATTGTAAGTTAACCAATGAAATACTGGGTTTTATCCGTGAGCACCGACAGTTTATCACTCTCAATGTGGCTAATATATCTTTGCCGAAATTATTGTTGTTGGCATGCGTATTAATTTGTATTATTCCGTAAGTTTGTAAAATTACATGAAAGTTAATTGTTGCATTTTGTTCTTTATGACATATTTCTGGATTCACATACATTTACTTCACCAACACACTATTAGATGATAGTTGCGCAGCAATAATCACTTCCTCGTATTAAACATATCAAAATGTAGTTTATATACAAATAAATTGTATTGTTACATTACGTGCACACAATCACATGGTAGATTGACTAACATTTTGTATTATTTAGAAATGTTAAAGGTACAATCATTACAGTAGAAAGTTGTCTTTGTTATTAAACAGTAACTAAAGAATTTTTACACATTGGTCAATACAAAAGAGTCACTATGATGTTAAAGGACATTGCAATTCTAATTTTGAAAGAATCTGTATTAGATCAAATTAGACAAATATATTTATGCGCATAATATTTATCATACTCTTAAATCAACATAAAACTTTAATATTTGTCTTGTTAATTAAAGTGGAGAACCGTTTTCAAAGCGTCCTTATAACAAATTATTACTGCCCTTAAAACATCCGACTGACTAACTTTCACATTCAACATATACTTTTACTGACTGCAAAAGTGTGAAGTGAGGCCGAATAGTTCAGTAAATGTTTGTTGATTAAATGAGAAAGTATCATGCAAACTGCTGTTAGATTAGAGTGATGTTTCGTTTTGAAGTTGGACACCAGGTCAGCAACACTATAACGTTGCAACGATTTTATGTCAAATAGATGTAAAAAGATCATATCATACTTGTTCTAGTTTGATATGTGAAGCTGTAGTTGGTCTAGTGTATGTACCCGACTCTGATTCTGTGTATATAGTTTCTGTATCTGAATGTGGATGTATACGTTTACTTCGGTGTGTAGCATAAGCAATTCCTGCAACAGCAATGATAGCGAGGACGAGTACCACCGCACATATTACACCCACAATCAACCATAATGCTGGAAAATAAACACCAACAATTAATGAAGCACGAAGCGGGTAATACAATCAAATATTTAAAACAAACAGTTCAATGTTACTTTAAAATAATGCATCAAATGAATTAGTTTGGATGTATTAATATGATGTTTTAGTTGGGTTTTGAGTCACAAAAATGATGGCGATGGCAGACGCAGAACTCGTTTAGTTAAAAATCAACACAGGCGGACAATGGAGTAGAACTATCGAAATATAAAATATACTAAAACAGCTTGATGTCTTTCTAACACCAAAAAAATCGGATCCACCGCGATAGAGGGCAAGTGTACGGTGGCACAAAGGTGACATGTGTGTGTGTTTTTATTTATCTCATGCGCACGAGATACTTTGTCGTGGCCACGAGTTGCTAAGTCGTTGCCACGAGATAGGTAAGTCAATGCCACGGCATTGTATCTCGTGGCCACCAGATAAATAAAAACACACACATGTCACCTTTGTGCCACCGCACAAGTGCTTCTACATCGGCGACCTTAATAACTTGGATACAGTTGTCCCTTATACAGTGAGGAAATAACGAACCTTTTAAAAATATGACAGTAAAATTCTATAATCTGTATCAATGAAATTCACTAAAATTGTTATTTACTTCTTGACAATGTTGACAATGCTAACTGTAATGATTGATGATTGATTTTCAAATTCTTCAATCTCTAAAGAGTTTAAAATCAACATTTTAATTTACCATTATTGGCTGACTCTGTCACCTCAGTACTTGTTGAATTAGATGCTGTTGTGTTGAGCTGTGCCGAGACGTTCACGACTGAAATTTAAATAATATAAGTTTATTACATTCGTGCATTTTATACTTTAATAGATAGATAAAGCGCACATATATAGTCAAAATGCAATTCATTTATCGTTTATAAATATATGTCGCGAACATATTTGGAATCGTTATGAAGAGAGCATGCGTCACATCCGGGATTGGTTTAAACATATTTATCTTTTCCCAAAAGTATATATAATGTACATAGAAAAACAAAATATTATGCATAATGGAAAAGGATAAGAACGAAAGACGAGTCTTATAGATTTCTTCTGCTTTGGCGAACTATACATTCGGGATGCATGTACACAGTTCGAAGGTCCGTTTAATTAAGCGTCCTAGGATCATGTTTAATATACATGTATATAATTTGACGAAATATTTTGATTATAGAGTCTATGGGCTAAGACTATGTCCACATGACTGATTCATAGGACATCCTTAAGTCAAAATGCAAAACATAATAATCTGCTTTACTAAGCCAATGTTTTATTGTAGATAGCTATATAAAAGACAATACGGTATTATTATGTAAACGTGTTGCGTAAGGTAAGTGTTGCGGATTACACAAGGTATTTTTAAAACATAATCCAAATGATTTGTGACATATTATGAAATAATACCCGACTTAATCGCCTCACGAATACAAAAATCGACATTACACGATCATTTAATTCTAATATAAATGAGGTCAAAATGTCGAGATTTTGGCTGGTCAGTTGATCTCTCTTTACTTGAGGAAATTATTATAAGAGTACATTTATATTACATTAGATCTATATAATGATATATGTTTCCAATTTTATTTTATTTGTGTATTTATTGTATTCAATGCAATAATCAAGTTTTCATATTTTTACAAATATACACACAAACTATAGTAAAGACGGTGCATGTACTTAAAGTACAGATTAGTGGTGAACTAGAATATCAGATATACAGTAAATTCTACAACAAATTATATTCAGCATCTTCAGCAACCTTTTTCTCATTATAAAATGTTCTGATACATGATTTCAGAAAGTTTAGTTTGTTCTCACCATATACTTAAGTTCATTATATAGTTATAATAAAAGAAATTGCCACCCGTGTATAATTATAAAGCTGAATAAAACCCTCAAACATTCGATTCTCGATTTCTTGTCGGACACTCGACCACGTTGCTATGTATATAAGGAATAAGCCAAAAGCAAGGCTGTTGGAAGTATGCTATATCTAGAGTCACAACCGTATTATTTATTGATGTATATTTCACTAGTAACATAACTTCCCTGACTTTTATGCGGAATGAAATATACGAAAATATGTATACGAAGCATCTATTTACGCTGAAATATAAAACATGCATTTTTATTTAATGTGTAATATTTAATTCACCATTAATGTAAGATTAATCTGTCGAATTCGACAAATCAAGGTTATCACTTAATCGAGAAGCGTAACGTATACATTTAAACATTCACTAAAATCATTTTTGTCAACAATTTTCAACATTAAATCATTTGACATAAATATCGGTCATTAAATTAACATATGATTATACATTTCAATTGCAATATGCATATAATTTGAATAATATTTGCCTGATATGATATAAACCAGTGCAAAAAAATGTTTCAATTAAATAATCGAAAACGTTGAAAAGTAAAATATACTTACATGCCAAATGAAACACGAAAGCGAATATTAAGAAAGAGAGGTGTCCATTTCTTTTATAAATCATATCTGTTTTTCAAAAAATTTCATTTCTGTTTTTGGTCATCACCAAATCACAACAACTTTACGTAACGTCTTTTTATCACTCCCACATCTTTACAACGTTAACGTCACTGGACCTAGTTTTAGTAAAGGTAACGTTTAACAAAATGCAAAATACACTATCACAAACAAACAAAATCCCAGTAACACACGTTAGTTTAAAATCACATATATTCTTGTCGTGGATTAACTAATGTACGAAAGATTAAAGATATATTGAAATTCGGATTAACCCAAACAAGTGAATTATATCGGACTATAGGGAATTAAAGTCATGTTTATAATTATTTATACGTTGTCTTAATTTTTCAACCAATGTCAAATATAAAATCAAAATACTGTATTCATACCGAATAGATATAATTGGATAATGGGCACGTAGAATCAACCGTATCATTTTAGATCTGATGACTTTATGTGAAAATATTTTTATAAATACGTCCATTAGCGGATTATTTTCACCAATTATGTAAATGTTTTGATAAATTCTATTTTGTAAAATTTCAATTGACTTCATCATAAACCGACGTGACATTTGTATTGTTAAGTTTCTCACATTGGAGAAGGCAAAAAGTATCAGAATAATGACTCGGAATTTGGTACTTAGTTTTAACTTTTAAACCATAAGATTTAAATAAATGAATAAACTACTAACCTTTAACGACTAGTTTAGTTTATATACATTTATTTTAGTTCGATTGTGTTGGAGACTATAAGCTTATTGAAACACTCTCGAATCCGTTCCTTGAACCAACCAGTACTAAGCAATGAATGAAAAGTTTCTTGCTCAAGGAAACATCAGCTTGACCTTATTTTTTGACCTTCAAAATTTTGAAACTATAAGCGAATGAAAATAGATTATGTTCCATCAAGTTATTTAATTAATCTTATTGAATTTATGTTTTTCACATATAATATGTATATTGGATAAGTAAATTATGCTTAACATGATCACAACTTGACAGCTGTAACGACTTGAATCGAAACTAGAAAACTAGAAAGTAAGCCAAAATATATCAAAAGTTTAATATTAATATTTTATTCCTGTTTGAATACAATTAAAGAACGTTATTTAGCAATTTTAACAAAGGGCACAAGGGTTAAACAACTAGTTCTATCAACATTTGCAACTGTCCTTCCCTTAACACGTTTAAACCCTACACGCATGAGCAATAATAAAGTTTAAGGAAGCAAAAAGAACTCGGCATTAACATTTATAAAAAGAAGAAATTGAACATTTGTTATCAATATATGCAGGGTGAAATGTACGCTTCTTGTACACCGTAACATTACAAACTCTTAGGTTCCAAATTGGAAACCATCCCAAATTCAATTCAATTCAAATATTTTATTTTCGTCTCATCACATGTACAACATATACATCACAATCAAAATGTATAAAACTGATAAAAGTACATATGCCATTCAATACAGACTTATATGAGACGTGTGAACAAAGTTTACATCTATTGGTAAATATAATAAAAATCATATAATTTACATACTTGTATGATTATATACAATACACACTTTACATTAAATGTATTGGGAATGCTGTGAATCTATTATTTTTTAAGCTTTCATATTCCTACTAATGTGTCTAAAAGTCTATATATAAAACAATTCACTAGTCTGATGTTACAACAATTCTAATGAAAATTAAGAAAAATAAAATCTAAAATGTATGAAATCTACTTAAAAAATCTAATAAAAAAACATTATTCCTAACCCATAAAATAAATTCAATATGTAAGATTCACAACACTCTATCTTAAAATACCTACTTAATAAAAAGAATAGTTACCTACAATAATGTCAAAGACGTCTATGTTTTAAAATATTAAAACAGGCTTTGGCTGTAAACTTAGTCATACATGGATTAGCAAAAACGTTACGCATTTTCTCAACATAAGATAAGTTGTCAAAATTATTAACAATTGTTCTGGCAGATTCAATTAAGTCTTCCCTAAATTGTATATAGAGTGGACAGTGTAACATAACATGTATCTCATCTTCTACGGTATCAGTACAGTTCATGTATTGACAGATTTTCATACCTCCCCGTTTCCAATCTTATCGGTGCAACACCGCATCTAAATAATGCCACATCTCTTCGATAATGAAAAGGCAAATGTTGTTTTACATAAGTTTCAGTTTCAAAAACATTCTTGAACATTCTATATGTTCTAAGCTTATTTCTACCATTTCCACACGCTCTAATGATTGTTTCCATTTATTAACTACTACATCAAATTTTTCCCCTCAATATTTGTTACAATTGCTTTAGTATTCACTTGATTTGTGTTAAAATAAATCTGTTCTTCAATAAATGACATTATTGTACAACAACATTACTGACAGAATCTACCAAAATAATGGCATGCTGATAATACGGCACTTTGAAACACCGGTACCATATAACTTGCACTTTGGTAACACTCCATTACTGGTGCTTATATAGACACTACCGGTACCACACAATTGGCACATACGTATGCTATAATAATACGGCCTGTGTGGTTATTAAAAAGTTGAATTTGAAACAAAATCTCTGCTGGTAATGTTTTCAAATGAATCTTTCCAATGTGTAAACAATGGTAATACACAATATGAGGCTATTTCTATTTTAATTTGATCTTCAGTTTCTGTATTTGTTTTCTACGACTTTGAGAGTGGGGAATTGAGTGGACAATCCGTGGTTCTGTCTGTTTGATAAATTGCGTTTGTGTTTTAATAAACGTTTTTCTAAATTACTTTAGACTAACATTTTCTGTATCCGAAGATTTCTTTTACTGTTTTCTTTTAATGCCATTCAATTTGAATTTTTTAAAAAATTTCTTTACTTTTAGGTACATTTATCTCAATCATTTGTGTTTTCATTTTAAATCTGTATTACTGAATAGATTTTCAATCCCTTTTTAATTGAAATAAACGTCCCACCACTAACTACGATTTTTTAAATGTTACCCCCAACAAATATGCTTTAATACTTTAAAGTTAGCCCCAACACCAGTGTTAATGTATCATGCAGAATAAATATAAAATGTACCAAACTTTAAAAGTTACAAGTAAAAGGCATTTACAATAGGAGACCAAAATAACTAAATATTCAGCAATACTGCTTCTGGTTTTCAATCAAATTTATTCCGGTAATTATTGACATGATAAGATTCACAAGGCAGTGGAATGTAGCATCATGATTTTCTTGGGTTTCACGCTATTACTTATCCTCTGATGTTGAGGCCGCCACCCACACGCCCCTGTCCCTGAATGACGTGTTGCCGTGAAACCACATGGAGGTGACGTTGATGCTTCCTTAGTAGCTGACTTTACAGAAATTGGTGACGTCGAATTGGAAGTTGAATTCAAAGATTGAATCAACAGAGGTGGAAGTTCGTTTGCCCTGGAATTAAGAATATAGATTATCATGGGTATGTGATAATGATAATTTATTCAGAAGAACAAGCTCTTTTGCTCACTGCCTTTACAGTGGCGAATCTTATTTAAGTTTGACGATAACTTTACCAGGAATTGAATAGAGAATAAAAAAACATGGTAAAAAATAAAATAGAAAAAATCGCAACCTGTGACTTTTTCTTGCTTCTGTGGTAACTAAATGACATTTAATGTAAAGAGTGGGTGTAATATATTACCCGTCTGCTTGTATCACAACCTTGTCGTTGGCGTACATTTTCATGAGCCTGTTCCGGACATATTTCGCCCGTTCAGCAGGACTTGTAGACCTATTCATGTACGACGCAATGTACGACTTCCGGCAAATCTCAGTTGAAGTTGTTGACTTTGCACTCTGAATGTTGGAAATATTTTACATTACTTATATACATAATCAGTTTTAAGATGTCACAAGCTAGTTATGAATGTAATTTATTCAGAAGAACAAGCTCTTTTGCTCACTGCCTTTACAGTGGCGAATCTTATTTAAGTTTGACGATAACTTTACCAGGAATTGAATAGAGAATAAAAAACATGGTAAAAAATAAAATAGAAAAAATCGCAACCTGAGACTTTTCTTGCTTCTTCCGGGAAATCTCAGTTGATGTAGTTGACTTTGCACTCTGAATGTTGGAAAGATTTTACATTACTTATATACATAATCAGTTTTAAGATGTCACAAGCTAGTTATGAATGATAATTTATTCAGAAGAACAAGCTCTTTTGCTCACTGCCTTTACAGTGGCGAATCTTATTTAAGTTTGACGATAACTTTACCAGGAATTGAATAGAGAATAAAAAACATGGTAAAAAATAAAATAGAAAAAATCGCAACCTGAGACTTTTCTTGCTTCTTCCGGGAAATCTCAGTTGATGTAGTTGACTTTGCACTCTGAATGTTGGAAAGATTTTACATTACTTATATACATTATCAGTTTTAAGATGTAATAAGCTAGTTATGAATGTTTTTGTTTACTTGCCATATTTAAGATGCAGATAATTCTCAGTTAGCTAATCTTAGCTTTTTTTTTCAATAACTAGATCTACATTATAATAAAGTGACTGATATTATATTTCTAAATCTAAAGAAATTCAAATTTCTAAATCTTAAGAAATAAACAAACATGGACTCAATGACAAAATTTAGTTTAAACTTGATAATATTAAATAATGTATAGTAAATAAGGACGTTATTAGCGAATTTCTAAAGCATTTTTAAGCATCACTGTGACTGCTTTTTATTTTGAAAAAATCCACTTTTTTTTATTTCGAATGCCTATAAAAAGCAAACTTGAAAGTGCTCAACCTATACAGAAGTCAAATACAAATTGTATTATATTTCTATTAACATAGGCATGTTGTTAACAAAAAGAATCCAGCTAATAGGTTTGGGAGAGTTCTTTTTAAATTATTTGTCAAACGTTAATTACCTTTGGCATGGGTGTGGAAGAGCGAATGCTGATTGCAGATTTTACAGGTGGTTTCCTCTCAACTGCTGAGGTTTTACGCACATTACCTGCATTAACCTTGTTAACATCTTTGTCAGGGTTTTTAAGATCCCGCTCGGACTTTTCTAATGTTGGCATATTCTTAACTGGACTTGGGAATCGGAAATCTTCGTCTGGAGACGATGATTCAACAGTATCACCGTTGTCAAGGAAACTCAATTCTTCCTCTTCAAGATCTAGATCGTCCAGCATCGTGTTGGAACATGCAGCTTCCGCCTTGCAACACCGGCAATTGTTTGGATCGCTCAAATCTTTACTTGCTTCATTTCCCGCCATATACTGTAAGATAAAAATAGTGAACATCTGATTTGATGTGATTGGCTATGGCCTAGAAATAAGATTTACATTCACTATCCAGTTTGACTAAAATACCATAAGTACTTTGAAATAAAAGATGTCAGTGCAGGTGAGATACTTTTCTAAGATTATTGGTTACTTTCTATTTTGTAAGAAAGAAACAATGTATTTGTAACCATGTGTCTGTAATATTGCGTCTGTGCTTATACTGACTTCTTTTATAAGTGGTTTATACTTTTGACAGTTTGACAAGAATGTAATTTAAAAAATATATGATTACCTTTTCCATAAACCACTTAGACAGATGAATTACTTTTGTTGATACACGTGCCTTCAGTTCGTTTTCCGTTGGATTCTTTTTGCTCTCCGATGGGTTAGCGACAACCGCTGTGCGACTTTTACGCGTACCAGCGGATGCACCACGGTACTTGCCACGCGCTGCTGTCTTATTTGTCGTCTGCTGTTCTGTTGGTTTGTTAGTACGAGGCCAAGTTTTTGGACGCTCCGTTGGTCCAGTTATCCAAATGTTCTCTGGGTGGAAAAAGCACATACTCATATTACTGCATAAACAGCAAGGTTACTCTTATTAAATACAATCAATGCAACAATTTAGTTAATCTAATTACTGATAAGATATGATTGTTAGGGCATAATTTACTAATAGGACATACAAACAAATACAAATACCATCTGGATTGACAACAAATGGTACTTACTCTTGTTTCCTTTCCTACTCTTTAAAGTGACAGTTTCGTTCTTCTCATGATTCACCGTCACGGTTGCTTCGGAGCCTCGTTCTGGTACTGTACTTTTGTAATACACTGGGTTTCCAGAAAGCTCAATCTTATCAGCGCCATCTTTGTCCGGTGGATGTGGCTGGTATGAATTCTGGTATATATAATACATATATTTATTATGGAGGTGAATATTTTCAGATTGAATTTTAAAATAGTTTATGTTCTAAAACGATGTAAAAATACTTAATATATAATTACTTTTCGATTTTTCAATGTATGGTAAAAAGTATGAAGTTAATTATGTTACTATGTGTGAACACCTATAATTTTTCTGTCATTTTCGAAATCAAATTGTGTGTGAATGTCTCTTACTCATAGCAATGTATATAATTTTTAAATGTCGCTGAAATGCTTGGACCGACAAAGGCAGCACAACTTACCGTCCATTTTGGTTTTATTGATTTTGCTGATTGACGAGGAATCAAACGTTTACCGGTTAGCCAGGGGTCACTTAGAATGACAGCCGTTGAAGGGCGATTGGTCGGATTGTACTGTAAGATACGTCTGACAAGAACCATAGATTCTGTAACACAAATATACAAAATCACATTTGAGCCGCGTCATGACAAAACCAACGCAATGCGTTTGCGACCAGCATGGATCCAGACCAGCCTGGTCATCCGCGCGGTCTGATCAGGATCCATGCTGTTCGCTATCAGTTTCTCTACTTGTAATAGGGTTGGTAAGCGAACAGCATGGACCCTGATCAGACTGCGCGGATATGCAAGCTGGTCTGGATTCATGCTGGTCGCAAAACCATTATGTTAGTTTTGTCGTGGCACGGCTCATTTTAATTTCTACAAGAACACTATACAGTTACAATAATTCTTTACCAGAATGGTACGCGGTACGCTGTTTTGATTATCTTTTATTTATACAATTGTTTTGCGACATTCATGTACTTGAGTATGCTTGTATACCATGAAGATACTCCAAATGCAAACATCCTTATTGATGCCATAGTATATAGATTATAAGTTATAAAGATTTCTTACAAGTTATTAAGCTCTATATAAACCGCTGTTTGCATATATAACCCGGGTTATATCGTAAACAACCGTTTATATACGACCATATAACCTGTCAGGAATCTTTATAACGAATTTATAATACAGCAAAACTTCCTTTTTGAGAGAAAATGTGAGATTTATTCATAAATTGACAGTAGCCATGTATATAAAACTACATAAACTTCACAATTATCCAATGAAAAACAACGTTACAAACGTACAGTTTTATAAAGTTTGAATGTAATGTATTAATACAGTAATAACTGAACAACTAATCAAAATCATCTATATAAAGAAAACTGTGTTAGACAAGATATACATAGGTTATAATAAATCAATAGACGATATTGAAAAATAACACTTTTCAAATATAGTATAATGTAAGATATTATCATTTAGAAAATCTACTATGGTAAACCAAACCGAGTAATTACCTTTATATTACAAAATATATTTCCGTAGATTTGTACATTTGCCTGATAATTGGACTCTTCCTAATTTCATCGTGTGAGCTTGGGTAAATTTATCACAAAATAGTGTCTTTAATTGAAATACAGTGATGGAATGCAATATTCAGATTTTGAATGTAAAAATTATTACCAAAAGACACTGAGCGCTCAAAACGAAGTCTCTGCATTTTCTGATCTTCTTCCAGATCTGCGAGCTGTGCGTCGTTAAAAGGCAGACGACCGTTCAGCATGGCAAACAAAATTATACCGCTAAAATGATGCAAAAACAAAATACATGTTTCAAGCAAATACCGAAGCCTTAGAATACTGGAACTGAAAGTGAACAAACTTATTCTGGTACCAGTATAGAACCAGTAAAAAAGTTCTGTCATATCAGACTATAAAGATCTGCTGACAAACTTTTAAAAAAGTCTTGACATCCCTTTAATTGACATTTCCAAAAAAGAGTTAAAACTGGATTTAAGTCTATGCTATAAAATAATCAAGATGAGAGTACAAGATGTGCGTGTCATGAAAGATGGTTAGCTAAATACATGTAGTCCCCATATCGTTTTATGTAAAATCAGTCATGTATGCTTTCACAAAACTTTCATAAGTGGAGAACAAATATTTTGAAAGTTCTAGATTTCTCAGAAACTTATTAATTCTATGAAAAGTTTACTTACAGACTCCAGATATCGGACTTGGTACCGTCGTAAGGTTTCTGTTTTATGACTTCCGGAGCCGTATAGGCATAGGACCCACATGAGGTTTTCAACAACGAACTCTGACCTGGCACAAATCTTGTGGAGAATCCGAAATCTGGAAAATAATTATATAATGAACAAACTATTCTGGCTTTTTGTGTTCCGCTCTTTTACTTTTGACTGTGTCGCTTTTTTGAACAATTTGTTTTGCACAGTTAGAAAACTGCGTTTGGTATTTGTTTGTAAAGAATACAAAACTGAACAAAATGTATGCAGACTGGTCCCCGGAAACATGCAAATATTTAAATAATTTAACATTATACTAGTACTTTTCGCGATGATTATAGTACTTTTACTGTGATATCTGAATATAAGTTATACAATTAGTGAAGAATTATGTAACTGACCTGTTATTTTTAAGTTAAGTTCCTTGTCCAGTAGCACATTCTCACATTTTAAATCCCTGGAACAAAAATGATAAAACATCAACATCATCTAGAAACGTTACTAACGTATCTGCATATGTGAAGCATGTACTATAAGCGCAGGTAAGATATTTCGAGGCGTTTTAGATAGAACAAAATGTGGTAGTCACATGAAATATCTGGTGTCATACTCAATGGATTCAACATATAGAGGATATTGAATGAGTGTAAGTTCAATACTGAATTTATTGCACGAGTTGAATAAAATTATATTATGCGAGCCTTTGGCGAGCATGATATTATTTTACTCAACGAGTTCAATAAATTCAGTAATGAACTTACACGAATTTAATATTCTATTTATCACATACCAAAAATAAAACCTGTTAAAAGTGAAAAATAGTAATTTTCATCGACGAGCATACAGTATAACGCTAACATTTAGCGCGTCTTTACACTATGTTTGTATAACGTCACGACAAAATATGTGCACGGCTGTGCAATAGTCGCAAAATCGGCACGGGCGTGTGATAAATGTATTTTATCAATTAAAAGGCAATACTATTTCGCTGAGAAGCATTTAAACAAAACGTTTTTTCGTTCTTTTGTTGTTGGTGGTGGTGCTGTTTTTATTTGTTTGGGTCGTCAGACCAGCGAAATTTCAGACTCTAATTCTGTAAATTGCAAATGCCGAAAGTAGTCCACTTTTTTTTTGAAGCAATTACTTCCCTTTATATATATGTACACTAACGCCGAAAATTCAGGGGAGATCACTGCGTAAAGATGGTCAAATGACAAGCGCATTAATTTTCAAGCAAAATAATTCCCGAATGGTCGAAGATTTCTAATATTGTTTTATTCTTTATAGATATACATACTTATAGTAAGCGCCATAATTATTTACATCTGTCTTAAACAACAGTTAGCGTCGTTAGAAACCCTTATTTAGAATAATATGGTTTTCTTCAGGCCGTTAACATATAAATTCACCGTGACCGAGGGGTTTGCGCGCTCGCTAAGGAAGCGAGAGGTCTGGAGTTCAAATCCCAGTTAAGGCAACTTATTATTATTTTTTAAATTGTTTAAGTCAAATAAACATTGGATTAAATATCACTGTTGCAATTAGTCTTTTAGCCAATTAACTACAATTAAAACGCTGGAAAGCATTGGTGGCACAAAAAAAAACAAATTGGTTTATAATCTCACACCTTCACCTTTCTGACATTCTGAGACCCAAACAAATTCAGCGCCTTCTGTGCTTTGATTTTATAATTGCGTTATGAGCGTACTAATTTTAACTAATATTAACGCTTCAGTACACAAACAAACGCTGCACAAACATTTCAGGCAGTATGGACCTAGATATTTTAATTGCTTTTGTATTTAAAAAATCTTACAAATAATTTTAAAGCATATTTTAGGGCGTGGTTACCTATGAACAATGCCGTTGGTATGGATATGATGCATCCCCTCCGTTAACATGCGGAACAGTGACCTTGCCCTGTCTTCCCCGAGCCCCTTACAACTCTCACTAATCCGACCATTAATTAGGTCAAGTAGGTCACCTTGGTTACAGTACTCCATGACAACGTAGAAACGGTCAGTAGACCTAAACTGCTCAAACACTCGAACCTGTAATAGTGAATAGAAAATTAGTAGATCAAAGTTATAACATTAAATAAAGGTCCTGTTTGTTGTAACTGAGGTTGTGTACCACACTTGCGTGAGATTTTATATATGTATATAATTATGATTATAAAACAATTTTATATATGTATATAATTATGATTATAAAACATTTTTTTAAATATCGAAGAATATGTAAAATATGTATAACTTTTGCAAATATTTGTGCACATTATATGTAATCATTAAAATAAATGCACTCATTTCTAATTCGAAAATTTGACTAAGACTTTATAGAAAATAAATTTCTAATTACCACCCTTTATTTACATAAAATGTTAAATTCAGGAATATCTGAATAAATAATGCTTTTTGGAACTTACAATATTGATAAATCTTAATTTGACCATCATATTTATGATATAAAACCATAAAAAATGTGTTACAGGATCTTTAAATATTGATTGGAATGACTTTGTTTAATTTTGGTAATGTAGCAAGACAGTCGTGCACCCTATTGGAATGGCTTACGGCGGACAAACGATATTTCGGGATGCTTAAAATACTCATGTACACCAGCTCGTACTATTTCACTCGTGGCTACGACACTCGTGTAAATATTACATATGGTGTTCACACTGTGAAATATATTTCGATCTAACATGCATAACAACCAAATATCCTCTCTATAATAATGTAGTTTAGATATCATTGAGTAACTTGACAATTAACTACAAATATTCACTTAAGTTACCTCCCCTGACGTTTATAATCAGTACAAATGGGTATAGAGTGATAATTGGTCTACATCACGTTATGATTGCGTACAAAACATATCAATTATCACAATAAAACGATAATATTTGAATATGTATAAGCTTATAAACCCAAATGAATAGAGAGCATATGAACATATATGTTCCAAAGAACATCATTTTTTTATTCGTAGAAATACGTTCTTAACCCCCACCCCTCCAAATTCTCGTCTTATAATAGTGGATACAATAATCACCGTTTTCTAAAGAATAAAATAATAAACCGACTTACCACGTTTTGATGAGGCGGCATGGGGCAGTGATTTTCCAGTTCTCGTGGAAGGAATTTCTGCACGAACTCCTTTGGTACGTTCTTTGCCTCTATAACCTTTATAGCCACCTATAGTATAAACCAATGAAAATGTTTTATTAAATCTTAAAGGCCCATTCTTCCATTTTAATTTCTTAAAAGCTTTTTTATTTACGATGTCATAGATTACAAAAAGGTGCAATTACCAGAACGACCTTTTTCTTCTGTCGCCTTCCGGCATTTAGTACATTTATAGTGATTTGGTATTTTATATTGAAGTCAAAACACTAGATCTACTTTGTTTACAAATTTGTACTTTTATGACAATAATCTTTCCTTTAGCGTACTTTCTACACGTGAAAAGCAGGTAACATGCGCTTAAACTAGTTTTAAAGGTTATTAAACTAATTGTCTGCCTTTCTGAAAGAAGGAAAATAATGAGCCTTTTCTAAGGCATTATGTGTTTTAATGGTTTTGTTTTTATAAGTAAATATATAGGATAGTAAAAAATCTAAATATGCCTAACCTCTTAGACAGAAATATTCAAGTTGCTAAACATTATTTACAGGCAAGAAAATGTCCTTTATGATATTCGAATTATGCTACCCGAAAAGATTTTGCAACCTTTCCTGTAATAGTTCTAGAGAAATTAAGCCTTACCACACCAAATATCATAAATATACCTGTATATTTTTGAATCTGAACAAAACCATTCATCATTTTTAGGAAAAAATTAAAACTATGTAGATCTACTGAATGAATAGCGAACAGTGCAGATCATATTCGTGCACTGGTAGCACGGGTAGATTCTGTTGCCGTTAGCAACCTAAAATTATTTTTCATTAAAATAAAGTTTAAAACTGCAACTATAGGATGCATCCTTTTCTCGGAAGGTACTCGTGTGTAAAGCTTAACTTGATTTAAGACATCGTCTGGTAAACATTTTTATTTTACGAAATAAAAAATACATTTTAGAAGAAGGCTACTTGTGTACATAATATCAAACTATACAAACTTACCTTTAAATTTCCCTCGTGATCAATATGAGAATCCATATCTGGAAGTCTCGCGAGTTTTGACGGTAAAGCCTCGGCAAGTTTAACTTTAGCGTACGCTCCTTCTCCAATAGTCTTCTCTATCCTGTAACCATGGTTATAACAGTCTGCATGAATAACATCAGCCACTATTTCATTAAAATTACATGGTGGAGTTATAAAAATTGACTGCGGCTTCTGCTGCTGTTTCTGCTGCTTCTGCTTGCAGGGAGATGACTCTTTCCGTGGAGAGTTATTTTCAACCTTCTTTTTATCTTGCTTCACACCGTGCCCTTTCAGTGAAAGGTTTCCAACATGTTTATATTTCTGAAAACTTACAGTACGGCGTTTTGTCGTAGTATCTGTGCTTGGTTCCTTCTGCGTTACAAATCTTGTTTTCTTCTGTTGTAAATTTTTCGTAGCGGAACTGCTTTGATTTTGTTTTCTATTGCCCGTTGACGTAGCCTGTCCAAATGAACTATTATTAGACGCGCGAGTCTTACCCTGTAACCCCATTCTTATCAATTACATTATCATAACCCACACAAAATAATCATGGCTTATTTCACTTGACTGCTGCAACCCTTCTTAACGTTGCTATGACAAGGCAACGTCAGATAACGTTATGATGTCATTGACGTCGCATTAGTGACGTTAAAGTCGCCATAATCTATATGCCGTCCAATACCGTATATATCCAAAATTTTGACGACGATTAAAAAATATATTGTGGCTTCGATAAAGTAAATGGGTTCATTTGTACTTCAGGTCCTGAAAACCTTATAGCGAAAGTATTTTAACATTCAGTTGACATCATTGCTCTATGTCTTGTGAAATTCTATGATGATTTTTTTTACTCACGGAGTGTTTTCAGAAAGTTGGACACAGTGCGTAATCGTTCCCATATTCAGGGGGGGGGGGGGTTAATTCGGTTTACAATCAAATCGGTTTTCAAAAGAATAAACCAACAATTGGCTGTATCTATTTTCAAAAAATCTTGCTAAAAAAGAGAAAAAATATATGTAACCTTTCTCGATTTGGAAAAATGTTTGACAGAATAGATAGAGTTTATTTATGGCAAAAACTGATGAATGCAAATGCTAGCACAAAATTTGTATCGACCAAAAAGTCAACGTGCTTAACAGTTCGGTCGTTTGTAAGGTGGAACTTATAAATTCAAGCATTTGAATGAAGCAAGTTTAGATGCTCTTTACGGCAAATTAGCTAGAATCTAGACGAGCATTCATAGACAATTAATTATGATAAAATATTGGATAAAACTATTTACATCCAAGAAAGGATCACTTTTTTTAAAAACATATCACACGCTTGAAATTGACCACATATTATAATTGTAATTAGGCCTATCAAATTAAAAATATACAACTGTACTTGATAAATGCGGACTGTCAAACACATATCAATACCAATCTATCATATTTATTGAGTACAATATTATAAAACGACGAATATTAGATATTTATTATCAAAGCTAACATTAATTTTAGGCGAATAGATACATTAAGGAACAAACATTTCGAGTTGCGCTTACAAAATTTCGTAAGTCATATTAAAAAGGGAAGATACATGTTCACAAACTGGACATAAACTTGAAAGGATATGCAATAATTGTGCTTCAAGGCAAATTGAACACAAGTTTCACTTTTTGTTAACATCTTCACAATATAATAATAATAATAATAATAATAATAATAATAATAATAATAATAATAATAATAATAATAATAATAATAATAATAATGATAATAATAATAATAATAATAATAAAAATAATAATAATAATAATAATAATAATAATAATAATAATAAAAATAATAATAATAATAATAATAATAATAATAATAATAATAATAATAATAATAATAATAATAATAAAAATGATAATAATAATAATAATAATAATAATAATAATAATAATAATATATTTATCTATTTATTTAAAGAAGGTAACTCATGAAAATACATGCATACCATCGTAAAAAACAAATTACATATCTTAATTTTAAATGTTGCTTTCTAAACAGCACACGAACACACAAGCGCGCACGCACGCACATACACAAAAAGCAGCATCACAAAGCAATAACAACCAAAAAAAATACTCATTGGCCAATCACCCGAACCATCTTTGTCATCTGTTGCATTTTTTGCAATAAGTACAGTGAATTAGTATTTTGTATGGTAGTCAAAATAGTATTTTGTTTACATTTTGCTACTTTTATGACAAAATATTTCACATTTATAGCTACTTAATTCAGGTAACAAGCATCTAACAATCTTTAAAATCAGTTTTTAAACTGTTTGCCCTTTCTAAGAAAGTAAAAATTTATGTAAGGATTTGACATTCTAGTATAAATTCTGAGATGTTCTTACAACATAACTTGTAATGAAATCCAAATGACATTTTGAATTCTGTAGCTTCATATATTGTTAACTTCTACAAGAAAAAGATTCACTTAACTGATTGACCAAGGAGCACTGTATTGTCACTTTGCAATATAAGATGATAGAAATGTTAAATTTACCTTTATGTATCTATCGCAGAAAATCGAATCACTCCTTATATTTTCTCTTTAGCTGACGTCGAATGAAGACATCTTTGATATCTGTCAGTTCATATTTTATACTGAAGATTTTCTATTGTTAACATTAATTTCAGACAAATTTACTTCAAGAACATAATTCATGTAAAATTTATGTTTGTTTAAGGTCAGAAATCTTTAAGGTATCACTAAATGTTTCTGTGAATTTGCAGATTTTATATGGGATTTCAATATGGCCGCAATTAAAATCCTAGGTTTCAGATTCAGAAATCCAGCCGTTTCATTGGTGGATTACAAACATTGAACCTAATAAAAGTCGGAATCCAACCAATATTGCACTTCAATACATACAGTCCTTTCACATTGCAACCCCATATGAGACATATTCCCAAGAATATGAACGATACCTGGCCACTAACTCAACAAATATGAGCCAACTTCATATTGTCTGCGAAAAAAGATATAGCATTGAGTGAATCTTTATATGTGCTATAATGTATTTAATATTTCACCAGTTTGGGATATTCTCATTATTATAATTATACAAAGTTGAAAAAGAAACTTATGTTTTGCTTAAACTTAATTCCAAATTCGCATGTTAAAACATTAAAACAATGTAAGTGCATGCCAGTCGTGCATACGGAAAATATGTGTCAGGTATCAGTCCGAGTTGCATAATCTAATCGGTCAGTCAAGCTCATCGTTTATTTTTCTACATGATGCATATAATGGTCTTATTGGCCTCTTATTGGCCTTGCATCAAAACTGTATCATCACAAAAATCGATTGCATACATATTTAGTATCATTCAGTGAATTACTGAATCCAAAATTTATAGGTCACCTTTTGGTTGATAATAACATTTAAGAACATGAATGGTGACATGTCCGGGGTCCGTAATCTCAGTGCCTGAGAGGGGGATGGACCCCCATTAAGCCTAGAATACATACATACATATTGTCACTTCTTTTCCAAATCCCTCCCGAGGCGTGCACGTCGCGGAGAAGGCATACAGTAGGTCAAGTCGTCTCAAGTACCAGAGACGACTGGTTGACCTATCGTAACTTACACGGGAGGGTGGCACTGACAACAGCCATTTATGTTTGCTGAATGTTTGCTGCCGTCACGGAACATGATGCCTTGCCAGTATTGTCTTTCGTGGAACAGGTTAAGGAAGATCGGCATGAAAAGACGTCCCCGATGAGATTTCTAGAGTGGACCGGCATGGACGCTTGAGATCTCGGACATATGGAATTTCCGGCGCCGAGCTAAAACATAGGTCAAATCTAATTGATATCTTACGGACGTCATTGGTAGTTGGTATACATTTAAATCCAATATTATTTACTCATTAGATACTGTTGTTGCTGAAAAACTTGTTATAGACATATATAAGAATTGTATTTATTGTTCCTATCCTGACATACGTTTACATTTATTTGTTTCTGAGACTTTATGTGCATTTAAATTTCCTTTGCAACAAAACATTGAAGCAATAATCAAAATTCGACATTATATAATGTTTTATAAAATAACTGTTTCATTTTATCTGTCAAATAATAAAATATACGCCTCAATAATGCTATTTTCAAGTTAAGTTCTGAACAGTACTTCAATTCGTTAATTCCAGGACAAAGTACTATCTTTATAAACACTTATTTACATTTCCTATTTTTTGCTTTGCAATAATACATAGAGAAAGTTTATTACAATAATAACCTTTTTTCTTTTGTACATAATATCATGCAGTTGTTTTATTTGGATAGATAAACATATTGTTTAAATTTCGATCTATGGCATCCAAATATTGTTGAAGTTTACTTTGAACTATAGGTACATTCAAAATATGATCGGATATATATATAATAGAATCGACAGCATAAAAATCTATATTACCATTAAATTTGTTGTAGCTACAGCGATATCATTAATATATAATAAGAATAAAAGAGGGCTGAGAATAGATCCCTGAGGAACCCCAGAGGTTAGAAGCCAGCTATTGGACATGATACATCCAACTTTAACAACTTGACTTCTATTTGATAGATACGATTTGAAAAGATGAACACTTTTATCTGAAGAATGATAAAATTTTAACATATACAATCAAATTGTTGACCTTCTTAGAGTAGCTTAAACACTATGATTATAGATGACCTACATGGCAGAAATTAACAAATTTATTATTGTCTGAATCTATAATTGTTATAAGAGATCTTTCTAAATATTCATATTTTGAAATTAATAAGAAAGAAGTTTTACAGAATTTCAGTTCCTTTTTAAATATATTTATGATAGCGCAGATAAATGAGTAAAACTGAATTATCACTGTTTACTTATGTAAGAATTTTGCTACGTTCTTCAATCACATCGGATATTTTATGAATCGGAAATTAGATATAGCGTTTAATCAAAGGTCCCCTTATCTTAAAGCTGTTAAATAAGCAGCAATTTAAGTCTATAAATTCGGGCCAAACATAATAATAATAATACTTATCTCTTCTTTATTAGTCAGTTGTGTTAAAATTCTTTCATCGAATGACTCGTTTAAAATAATCAACTTATTTTATAAACAATCTGGAATACATATTTTAAAATATTAAAGAAACATTGAAATCAGTGAATTACTCAATACAAATAGTGTTTTCTACATCAAATTAAGAAAATAAAAGAGATAAAACAGATCATAAAAGTTATTTATGACTATCTAACCTAGGGGAAATATAATGTGAACAAATTTAAGGGTCAAGTTATGATCAGTAAGTGTGAGAAGCTAACTGCTGGAGTTGTGCAGGGATATTCAGGACATGCTTAGTGCCTTTCGTATAAAAGTTGTTGTTGTTGGAGATTATGGTGTCAGTAAGACTTCAATGCTTAAATCTGTTGTAACAACGTCCTCAAGAACGGACGTGAACGTACAGTATGGACAATATAGTGATACAGAAATAGAGTTACATGTGCGTTCGTCGTTAAGGCGGGAACCAGTCACCATGATGATCTGGGACACGTGCAGTAAGTATCTGGTTTATGTTATCAACACGTTCATG